CTCCACTTAGGATCTGGCTTCTTCCAGCGAATTAAGTACCAATTAGAGAAGTGGAGGAGGTCGTGCGCGCGAGCGCTTGGTGGCTCTTGGATGTGCAAGCGCGGGAAAGTTGTGCGGAGGAGGAGAGGGGGGTGCGTAGGACTCGGCAAGCCCTCTTACTCCCCCCACCAAGCCCTCTGACCCGATTGAGGGGAGGGGGCCGGAAAAAACAGGGCCTCCTGGTCAGACTTTTCCCCAGCAAAAAGTTCACCGTTCTTTGTACAGAAAGGGCGGCTCTCTTGATCCCTAAAGATCTGAAGGAGTTGGGACGGACTCCGAGAACACCCCTCCCTAGTTGCCCTGGTTTGGATTATTATTATTATTCTCAAAACTCACCACGTGGCCTCCAGAAGTCATTGCTTTCCTCATTCCCCTTTTGAACACATGCCTCTTGTTTTCTCTTCCTGCCATTATTTCCTGGGAGGGTGTTAGGAAGTAAGATGAAGCCCGCACCTAGACAATCATTGATGAGAATCGCTTCCCTGTTTTATATCTGTATTACCGCCTGTAAATGGTGGAGAGCATATGTGTGTCACATGGCAGGCTAGATTCAGATTTCTTACTGTGTCCAGTGGAGGGCTGCCTCGGAAATGTGTTGACTGCACTGTATTGCCTCCCTGCTCCAGGGCTTTTCATTGGCATCTAATGGTCCACCTAGGAAAACAGGGTGTTGGCCTTCAAGAATCCTCAAAGTGGTCCAGCAGGGCTACACTTAAGCATTCAGCAGGGAAATAAGCCGTAGTTACATCAGTCCAAATAAGGAAAAGGTAGAAGACTGCAACTATGTTACATGAATGATTCTTCTGTTTTGATGTAATTCTTCTCTGTGATCAAATTGCTCTTCTGAAAATTTCTACACACACAGAGCTTGGGAAGCACACCGTCTGTGCTCACTGAAGGGTTTGGGAAGTTGTAGTCCCAAGAAAGCAGCTGGTCTGAGCTCCGACCTCACCCCCCAACTGTCCTTCATAACATCTGAGTGTTTCCTGGTACAGATACCAAAGTTTTTGGTTACTCTGTGATAAGTTGATTCAGGACTCATACTTTTTAAAAAGTCCGTTAGCCACCCCATTCCTGTGATAAGTTGATTCAGGACTCATACTTAAAAAGTCCGTTAGCCACCCCATTTGTCTCTAAAACAATGGGTAGGACTTCAAGCAAAATCCTCTTTGCCAAAAGCAGAAATCCGAGTAGCATTTGTTAAAAGTGGTGTCACTAGTGAAACATGTAGGTGCCCTGCATCAGGTAGCAAGTGGGGTGTGGTGAGAATGTGGACAGGCCTTTGCTTAGGATATGTTGCCATTCCACAGTTATGCTTTATCACCAGTGAGTAACACATCTGAGTGCTTTGGTGCCAAGTGTGCATCTAGCTTTATTTTACTATTTATTGGACAAGGAACTTTGATGGAAGTTGCAGGATAAGATGCTAGTTCTTTGTGAGGTGATAAACCTGTGGACATTCTGTACCACTTCAGTCTGCAGGTTTAGGCTAAGATGACTGAGTTTGCCTCTATGCAAAACAGTACCGGTCTCATAGAAGACAAGAGGCAGCCAGCTACTGTATCTGAAATGTCAGCTATAGCTGGGAAGAGTACATCCCTGGAACAATTTTGTTATCTTGGAGAAAGCTAGGCCACCCAGACTTATGATGAAACCTTTGACTTTTAACTGGGTGATTTTTAAGATCCAAGTGTAATTTTTAAAAAATCAAATTTTTTACTTCTGACTCACATTAGATCATATGTATGTAAGTAAAGTAATATTCTTTGATTTGGAAGTCCTTAGTGTTCCTTCATTGAGCAGGAAACAGTTGAAGATTTTATGAGCTAACTTGTGGCTCAGTAAGACATATAGCTTATATTGCTAGATGTGCAGGCAAAGCATCCCATGTTGTAGATGAAAATAAAGTAGAATTCTGTGAAGTAATTTCTTCCATACACAGTTTTTCTGGAGATGAAAGCAGTTAAACATAGGAAGTACAGCTTTACCTTTTGCTAATGTAAACGCGGCAATGGTGGTGTGATGTCCTATAATAAAAATGCTACAGGGTTCTCCTGTGATGTGTGAAATTAGAAAGTGGACCGGTTGGTCATCTTTACTGGCTACATCTATTTGGCACCAACATGTATTTGGACAGCTGTAGAGGCGCCGGTCCCTTTTTATTTACTTTATGACATCAGCACTGGGGTGAGCACCTGTTGGCTTACCTGCATAGTCGGTCGGTCGGGAACTCTCCAGAAAAGTTCCTGAGTACCAGCTGCCCTGCTGTCTGTTTGTTGTTTGGTTGTGGTGTCATCCAGAAAATGTTAGGTGCTCTCACAACAGAAATTTACTAGCACTTTGGGTGTAAGCATGCCGAGAGAATATTGTCTGGAACTTCCCACACTAGTTTTGTGTAATCTCTGTAGCTTTTGTAAGGCAAGCTGCCTTTTAGAATATGGTATTGTAGGCACAATATTGCGATACATGATTTGTGATAGGACCCTTGTGAAAATCGAATCTGGTTATTCTTATGATAATCCAGGGTCATCTGATCACAGTCATCCATGCCCAAGTAGCAGCATCCAGGCTGAGCTAATGCTGTGTATGTGGGTACTGCCTCTGAAGGTCTGTCAGCTGATTCAGAATTCGTCCATCCAAGGACACTGCAGACTTCCATGGGTTTTATGAGGCAAGTCTTGCCAGTTGTAGAACAACCCTACTGGCTCTCTGTATGTTTCGAGGTACAATTCGAAGTGCCAAATAGTAACACAAACACTACTGCATGTTTCTGTTGCAGCCTTGTTTTTATTCCTGGTACTGTATATGGTTTTGTGAGCATTTCCTTTTTGCTGTCTTATTTTAAGGGAGCATGGGCCTATTTTAATGGTCCGTCCTCGAAGGTTACTGGATCCATTGAGATTCCAGGACACCATGAGAAGGATTCGAGCTGCTCTGTCTGGCGCTCCTGTCAAAGCTCTGGTGGACGGCTGGTTTGCCGCTGCCACTAGGCACGATCGCGCCTAAACGCCCTCTCTGTTGCAGAGCTCGGCCAGGGCCCTGGTATAACCGGGACCTACGAGCAATGAAGCGAATTAGGAGACGGCTAGAGTGCATTTGGAGGGAGGAACCGACGGGTTATAACAAGATAGCTGTCAGGATCGCAACTAACCGTTACCTAGCTAAGGTAAGGGCTGCGAGACGATCTCACTTCGCTGACCGGATAAGCGAAGCTTCTAATCAGCAGGAGCAGCTCTTCCGTATAATTCGCAATCTATCCGGAATTGGTCTGGTTGCGACGGGTTATAACAAGATAGCTGTCAGGATCGCAACTAACCGTTACCTAGCTAAGGTAAGGGCTGCGAGACGATCTCACTTCGCTGACCGGATAAGCGAAGCTTCTAATCAGCAGGAGGAGCTCTTCCGTATAATTCGCAATCTATCCGGAATTGGTCTGGTTGATAGGTCTCCCACTAATATCTCACCTGACCAATTTGCAGCATTTTTTAAATCAAAAGTGGAGACCATCCACCGTGACCTCTCCTTTTTTAAATACAATGGATCGAGCAGAGATGTCCAGCGCTCCACCTTGCCCAGTAATCCTTGACTTCTTTCAGCCTGTGACGCCAGATTTGGTGGACAAAACGCTTGATCACTGTTGGGCCACCACCTCCTCCCTTGACCCTTCCCCGGCCTGACTAATCATAGCAGCCAAGCCAGTAACAATAGAATGGGTCACTGCAATAATTAATTGGTCTCTCCAGGAGGGCAAGGTTCATTAGGCCCATTAGGAAGAAACCAAATTTGGCGGCGGATGACATTGGAAATTACAGACCCATCGCCAATGTTACCTTCCTAAGCAAAGTGGTGGAGAGGGTGGTGGCAAACCAGCTACAGGCGCTTTTGGACGAAACCAGTGCCCTGGACCATTTCAGTCGGGCTTCAGGCTGCGCTATGGTATGGAAATGGCACTGGTCGTACTGTTGGATGACCTGTTGAGGAAGGCCAATGGGGGCAATACAGTGGTGCCTCGCATACCGAGTGCACCGTTTAATGACGAATCTGCATAGCAATCAATTTTTTAGATCGCTAATGCGATCGCATTGTGATGTTCTGAATAGGCAAAATATCACATTGTGATGATCAGTAAACGTTTCGCTTACCGATCTTCGCATTGCGATGTTTTTTTAAACAGCTGATTGGCGGTTCCAAAATGGCCACCGGGTGCCCAAAACAGCCACCGCAAGTGTTTTCGCGCCCTGCCCTCGCTTACTGAGGGGGCGAAAATGGCAGCGCTATGGAGGAACTGTGAGTTTGGGAGCCATAGGAACGCATTAAACTTCCTATGGCTTTTTCCGTTCCGTTTAGCGATGTTTCTGCATAGCGACGATTAATTTGGAACGGATTAACATCACTATGCGGGGCACCACTGTATGTCCTTATTGGTCCTCCTTGACATCTCAGCCGTCTTCGATACCGTTGACCACGGTAGCCTCCTCGGGAGGCTCTCTGAGCTGGGAATCGGCGGCCTGCCGCTTGCCTGGCTCCAATCCTTCTTGGAGGGCTGTCCCCAGAGAGTACAACTTAGGGTTGCGCAG